CCGAGGCGTAGCTGGCAAGCGGCAGAGACGGAGCAGGCCGACCACCAGCTGGCCCAGCCCAAGGGAGGTAAGGCACCCGCCGGAAAAGGGGAAAAAAATGGCGGACAAAAAAAATGGCAGACAGCCTTGCTTGGCGACCCCCGTGAAATGGTCGATCGACCCCAAATGGGGTCCCGACCCACAGGTTGAGAACCACTGGGCTAATAGGAGGAGCTTCTTCTGTTTTAATCGGGCTGCTTAACCCGTAACGTGGGGAAGGGAGCTGAATGAGGAGGGCGGTTATTTTGCTAGCTAGTTGTATGGCTCATAGAGACATACCGGTCTCTAAAGCTGTATGTTAGAATTTTGCAGCGATGGATTTGGTTCATTGACCATCCTACATTTTAATACATTGCTTGCGTGGTGCGTAGGTACTTGGATATGGCATTTTGTAAGTTATGGTTGATCAGTTAATGGAGATGGCCCCCAAACACTGCCTTTGTGCTGCCTTGAGGGCTTTGAGATTGTTAGTTCTCTGCAATGTGACTTTTATTTGATTCTGGGGTTTGAGAAGAGAGTTTAATGGTGAAAATATATGTCTTTTTTTTTATTCGGAGGCCCTGTAATTTCATTCAGATTCTTAAAGAGCCCTAAACGATGCTCATCTAAATAGAGAGTATTTATGATGTCCTCAGCAAAGGAAATAAATCTGAGAATTTCCTGGTATCCTGCCATGGATGAGGAAATCATGGAACACCACCACCTGCAGAACACAAAAGCACATTCCTTAAGTTTTGAGTATTAGGCAAAGGAACATTGCTTGACCTTGCCATTCTGAGTGTACAGATTGGAAGAAAAAAAAACACATTTTGGATGGAAAATAGAAGATTTTAGCATCAATCAAGGAAAATGTTGCCAAATATAATTTAATACTCCATAAAATAAGCATTATTGGACTGGGTTCACGCAATGTACAGTATTGTTTGTTATGCAGTATGTTGTATAAATGCAGAGTATTAGGCAAATTCAATAAATTATGGTTCACTTAACTGGGATAGTATTGTCCAAATATGGCCTTGTTGTGAGAAGTATCTTTTAAAGTTCTGGCTACTGTTGAAAGTGATTTACCAAACTCTGTTTATTCAAAATAGGTATTTTACAAAGAAAGCTCGATTTTAGCTCTGAAATATAGGGCTGTCATATCTGGATCACAAAATCCCATATGGCTACTAAATAACAGCAGAGATGATTCTGTGTCTCTCCTATATCTTGTAATTATCTGGATATTTTAAACCAAGCTTTAACAATTCTGATAAAGTACAGAGAGAAATTCTTTGTCACACTCTTTGTGGTGTTTTTTAAAAAACTGAAATTTCTTTTGTAAGAGTAAACCTGTTCTGAGAAGCCTTAGAAAACAGGGAACACACACATTTTCAGGAGGCTGAACCACCTTTTTCCTGGTATCTATACATTATATGTTTGAACTACTTTAGGGAAGGTGTGTATTTTAGAACAGAGTTGGAAGAGACCATCAGATCTGTCCAGTGCAACAGTCTGAATCACAGCATCCTGGATTGTCCAGCTTCCATTTGAGAGACCCACACTCTTCTGGGCAACTTTATTCCATTATTGAGCTGCTCTTACTATTAGACAAAGGTTTTTTTTATCTGATATTCAATTGGAATCACCATTCTGTGACTTAAATCCACTTTTCTTTATCCTTCAGTCTGGAATGAATGAACAAATCTTGACTTTCTCAGTGAAATCCTGCCAGGAATTTAAGAGTGCCATCCTCCTCCTGAATTGGTTTTTTTTGCAAAGCTAAAGACAGTATACCTACTTCTTCAACCTCTTTACAGGGTTTAGTTCTGCTCCTCTAATAATCATTGTTCTCTGCCTGAACCTGTTTCAATTTCTTTGAAACCTTTTTAAAGTATCATCCCCAAAATTGCACACAGTACTTAAGATAGGGCCTGACTTAAAGTCAAATAAATTAGAACATTAGCCTCCAGTGATTTTGAAATTGCCAGATCTTTGGTTCCTTTCACACAAAGCAATTGTACCTTGCTCAATAGTAGTAACTGTGAGAGGGACCTCGGATTTCTAGTGGACAATCACTTAAATATGAGCCAGCAGTGTGCTTCAGCTGCCAAAAAAAGCCAACACAGTGCTAGACTGCATTAACAGAGGGATAAAAACAAGATCACGTGAAGTATTAATACCACTTTATACTGCCTTGGTAAGGCCACACTTGGAATACTGCATCCAGTTTTGGTCACCACGATGTAAAAAAGATGTTGAGAAGAGAAGAGTAACAAAGATGAGCAGAGGACTGGACGCTAAAACATATAAGGAACTGTTGCTGGAATTGGGTATGTCTAGTTTAATAAAGAGAAGGACGAGGGGGGACATGATAGCAGTGTTCCAATATCTCAGGGGCTGCCAGAAAGAAGAGGGAGTCAAGCTATTCTCCAAAGCACCTGAAGGCAGTATAAGAAGCAACGGATGGAAACTAACCAAAGAGAGAAGCAACCTAGAACTAAGGAGAAATTTTCTGACAGAACAATTAATCAGTGGAACAACCTGCCTCCAGAAGCTGTGAATGCTCCATCATTGGAAGTTTTTAAGAAGAGACTGGACAGCCGTTTGTCTGAAATGATATAGGGTTTCCTCCCTGAGCAGGGAGTTGGACTAGATGACCTCCAAGGTCCCTTCCAACTACTACTACTACTAACTACTACTACTACTACTACTACTACTACTACTACTACTTCTTATTATTATTATTATTATATTATTATTATTATTATTATTATTATTATTATTTTGTTTGTCCTTCTTCTTCTTCTTCTTCTTCTTCTTCTTCTTCTTCTTCTTCTTCTTCTTCTTATTATTATTATTATTATTATTATTATTATTATTATTATTTTGTTTGTTCTTCAAGGTATACTAAATCAAGAAACAAGATTGCCAAGAACTGCTGAAACTTTATTGCAGGGAATATTACACATGGTCCTCAGTTACTGACCACTCATTCAGCAATTGTTCACACTTACAATGAAGCTAAACAAGTGGTACTTACAACTGGTCCTTGAAGTTCCAGCCATTGTAATGCCCACCCAGTCACATAATTGCAATTGGGGTGCTTGGCAATCAACTCACATTTCCAACTTCCAGAGTCATTTGATTGTGATTTGCAACCTTTCCTGTCCGCAAGCAAAATCAGTGGGGAAGCCAACAGGAAGTCATAAGTGTCAGGCACGAATAACCAGGCCCATACTGGAAGAATTCAATTAGCTGTTTTATTGCTATATACAGGAATCTTCTCAGACTAATGGTTTGCACCTGGGTCAGACTAGATAAGGTTTAATGGCATTCAGGGGGCTCGGACTTCACACTCTTGTGTCCACATAGGGATTCTAGACCTAAGTCCCCATTTGACTCCTCCTCCTGGCTCGGCCAGTCTCTCTCCTACATAAGTCATGGTCACATGAGCTCCTTTTTTAATAACTTGCAGTGTTTTGCTTAATATCAGTAACTAGGACCTGCCAGAACTGCCATTGTTAAGTGGTGTAGTCACACGATGTGCTTTACATCAGGATTGCTTAGAGACAGAAATTCTGATCACAATTACTGTTATTAGGCTAGGACTATGTGTAATGGAATCCTGAAAGTTTCACAGAATTTTTTTCTCATTCCCTCCTCTCTTTCATGGCTGAGTGGTGTTCACATAACGTCTCTTGCATTCTTTCTTCTGTGTTATCGTCATACTCTTCTACCATTATTGAACTCTTCTTATTGTTGCTGGCACCAGAAATCGTCTTCCTATAATTCAAAATCTTTATTCTGTGACTTTCACAGAGATATTGTTCTTTTATGTGACACTCTTTAAGTGTTTGAAAAGTGCTATCATATCTCCTCTAAGCTATTTATTTTAAATTCCAAGTATGTAGCCAGTTCTTTCAGCCTCTTCTCATAGAGGAAAACTAAGAGGGCAGAAATCAGGAAGTGATCCTTTCTTCATTAAACACATAGTTTCTGGGTATTTGATCCTAGCACCTGTTCCAGTTTCTTTTCATTCTTCTGAATACAACTGTTTGAGATTGGATCTGGCAAAAATAGAATAAAATGAAACTTTGCTTTTTGCAAGAAATTATACTTGTTGCAACTTAAAATAGTGTTTGCAATCAGTTTCTATTACAAGATTTTCGTTTGCAAATATTGTTAGTAAGACATTTCCCCATTTCACACCCATGCATTTGATTTTTAAAGTAAACAACTTTAACTCTTTTAAAATTCAAGGTAATAGTGTAATTGTTTTATTTTATTTGAATTTTATTTTATTATATCAATTTTGTTTCTGCTGATTTCTTATACATTCCTTGCACCTTTCAGCATTCCTGCTAATATTTTTCTATATTTTAGTACCCATCTCCTTAAGTAAAATGATGCTGCCTATACTTTAAGAATATAAGCCATAGGGTAGTTGATCCTGCTTAACTGTTTGCTATTTGAATTACATGGGATTTTATCAGCTAATCAGTTAGCGAATAGAATAGAATAGAATAGAATAGAATGATATAAGATTTAGAAATATTTTGTTGTTGTTGCCTTTTGCCAATCATTGGGAAAATAATATGTTCTAGAAGTTCTGCAGAGTTTTTTGTGGTTACATATGGTGTCACTGAGATCAGAGGAAAATCATTCTTTATTATAATAGTGACCTTTAAGGCAGTGGTTCTCAACCTTTTTAATGCCGCGACCCCAACCGGTCGTAAGTCGAGGACTAAACCGGTCGTAAGTCGAGGACTAAACCGGTCGTAAGTTGAGGACTAAACTGGTCATAAGTTGAGGACTACCCAACCGGTCGTAAGTCAAGGACTTTCCCTGCCCAGGAGCGCTGCGCATGCGTGGTTCTGCCCCCTGCGCCGGCCGAGGCGTAGCTGGCAAGCGGCAGAGACGGAGCAGGCCGACCACCAGCTGGCCCAGCACAAGGGAGGTAAGGCACCCACCGGAAAAGGGAAAAAAATGGCGGACAAAAAAAATGGCGGACAGCCTTGCTTGGCGACCCCCATGAAATGGTCGATCGACCCCAAATGGGGTCCCGACCCACAGGTTGAGAACCACTGCTTTAAGGGATCTATAGGACATCGAACTTCCAGGGGAAAAAATAGAGGACTGAAGACAGCTTTCCTTTTAGAGGAGCCAATGACTGCAACGGAACAAGGTGTGAGCAACCAGATTGGCATCTTGAAATAAAGATGAGCTGGATAAAGATGAGCTCTTGAGATTGCCCACAAGTACTCAGTACAGAAGTTCCCTGTGAAGGGACTGTAAAACAGCAGCCTCTTGACAGGTTTTATTGCTCTAGAACAGTGGTGGCGAACCTATGGCACACGCTCCAGAGGCGGCACCTAGAGCCCTCTCTGTGGGCATGCATGCCATTGCCCCAGCCCTCCTCCCCCCCCATGGCCCCTCCTCACCAGTAGCCCTCCTGGAGGAGAGTCACCCGCGAGCGCAGCCCACGCAGAGCAGCACAGCCAAGGACATGGCAGCCGGGCAGCGGGGACAAGACTCTGCCCTCATGCCCCATTGCGCGCAGTTGATGCTGCGGGCGCGCAGGCAGAGGGCGTGGCCACCATGGCACTGCTGAGCCGCCTGGGCAATCTGCGGCAGGCCGTGGAGGTGGTGAGTGGCCCGGCAGCAAAGGGGTGATTAAACAGCGATTTTTGGAAACTTATAAACAGACTAAGGGCCAGATGGATTGGAAATAAGATTTTAAAATTAATTATAAGAATCCTTCCTTCCTATGGCAAAATGTGAGGGTTTTTTGTTTTTTAATTTTTTTCTCTCTGCACTTTTTTCTTTTATATTTTCCTTGGTTTGTGTTATCTCTATCTGTCAATTTTGATAAAAATTATTATTAAAACAAGATGTTTATATGACATTAATTGTATGGTGTGTAAATTATTATGTTTAGGTGCTTAATATGTTTAATAGAACTGAGTTATTTGTGGGATTATCTTCTCCCAAGAACATCTGTCTATCCCACCGACTCCCATAGGGAAGGCATACTCCAGGTTCCCATATCTAAACATTATCATCTTATGGAAGCTGGGAAGCATGTGTGTGTGTTCTCAGTGGCTCCCCTTGTATTCTGGAACAATCTACCTCCGATATATGAACTCTACTTGTCTTTAGGAAAGCTGTTAAAAAAGCCCGTTTTCTCCAGGCATTTGAATGATGTTTAGTGGAATCTCTTTTGGTTATTATCACATTTGTCATTGTACATGCTATATTTTATGTGCTCCTTTTTAATGTTGTATTTTTGTTGTTGCTATATACTTGCATTGTATGCTAACCAGAATCCAGAATTCCAGTTTGATTTGGGTGGGCTTACAAATGTATTAAATAAGTAAAGTATCAATATTGAAACAGATATTTTAAAGAGATAATTGGTTTCATCAACAGAGAGAAATCAGTTTATGGTCATTATACTGTCTTATGCTTACCTAACTCAAGCTGTTTCTTCAGACTCCTGTTACGTTCTACCGTAAAATAGTATATTCAAAGAAATCATGTAGGCAGTATAGAACAGTGATGGCGAACCTTTTAGAGACCAAGTGCCCAAAAACTGGCCCCGCCCTGCTCCGCCCCCACATTGTCCCCCGCCCTGCTTGCCCGGAGGGACACTCACCGCTTCCAGGGCCCGACACAGATCTCCCAGGCAGCCCAGCAGTGCCATGGCGGCCACGACCTCTGCCTGCACCCCACAGCATCAACTGTGCGCGATGGGATGTGAGGGCAGAGTCTTGTCTACACTGCCTGGCTGCCATGTCCTTGGCTGCGCTGCTCCGTGTGGGCTATGCTCAGGGGCGACTCCTCCAGGGGGGCTGCTGGTGAGGAGGGGGTCGTGGGGGGAGGGGAGGCTGGGGCAATGGCACGTGTGCCCACAGAGAGGGCTCCGAGTGCCATCTCTGGCATGCGTGCCATGGGTTTGCCACCACTGGTATAGAATATAGCTCTTGATCTGTTTACTTGAGTTTCAATGTTGCTGTCTTCTCTCAGTGGGTATAGCAGTGGTGGCGAACCTATGGCACGGGTGCCAGAGGCGGCACTCAGAGCCCTCTCTGTGGGCACGCGCGCCGTCGCCCCAGTCCTAGGCCTTCAGCTGGGTTTTATAAAACCTTTTCGCTTTAGGCCTCCGCCGCCGTGTGCAAAAAAAAAAAGGTTCAATCACTCAATCAATTTCAACTTCTTGCGGGGAAAAAAAATCTTACAAAGTTGGAATTGATTGATTGAACTTTTTAGTCCCACCCAGTCTGCCGTTACCACCGCAGCCACGCCCACCCAATGGGCCACACCCACCCAATTGACCACACTTACCCAATGGCCACACCCACCTGGCACCTGACGATGCATAAGTGGGTTTTGGGTTGCAGTTTGGGCACTTGGTCTCTGAAAGGTTCGCCATCACTGGGGTATAGTATTGCCTGTTTCTAGGCTTCTCCCTGAGGGTGAGATATGCAAGAACCCTTTTGCCTCTTTTGATCACAGCTAGGTCCAACCTAGGTTTAATAAGCAGCAAGCGAGAACTATCTGGTTATATTTATCTTTCCCCATTCCTAGCATAGGTGTGGTGCCAGCAGTGATGATTAGTAGAGTAGCGGCTATTGCCGCTGAAAGAATTCTATTATTAGCTTTTCCATAACTGAGGGGCAGAGTCATTTTTTACCAGCATGGGTTCTTTTAGAACAGTGGTTCTCAACCTTGACAATTTTAAGGCATGTGGACTTCAACTCCCAGAATTCCACAGCCAGCAATGCTGGCTGTGGAATTCTGGGAGTTGAAGTCCACATGCCTTAAAATTGTCAAGGTTGAGAAACACTGTTTTAGAATGATAACAGCTGAAGCCATCGGTTCCCTCGTTCAGGATAGGGAGCCAAGGCCAGATTCGGTAAAATCCCTAAGTGCCTGTTGAAGTGGGGAGGGAGGAGTTTTCTGCCAAAAATGACAGAAGTAGATTTTAGCATTACTGGTTAACCTTGATATTTGGCATATGGCTCTGTGGCTGAATTACAGGTAGTCCTCAATTTACTACCACGATTGGAACCCGAACCTTCGCCGCTAAGTCATGCAGCCATTAAAGTGAGTGTGTCTGATTTTATGACATTGTTTTGCCAAGGTCATTAAGCGAATCTGGCTTTCCCCTATTGACTTTGCTTCTTTGGAAGCCCTCTGGGAAGATCACAAATGGTGGCCACATGACCCTGGGACATTGCAACCCTCGTAAATACATGCTGGTTGCCAAGCAACCACATTTTGATTACATGGCCCCTGGGGTGCTGTAACGGTCATAAGCGTGAGGACCTGTCATAAGTCACTTTTCCAGCACCATTGTAACTTTGAACAGTCATTAAATGAATGGTTGTAAGTTGAAGCCTGCCTGTAACACATTTGCGATTTAATGACTAAGGTTGGGAGAATAATGAATAATGTCAGCTGCAATAAAGATATCTGAGGACAATATTTTTTGGTGGCTACCCTTTACATCTGTTTCATTGTGCCATCAATTTATATTAGCTCGGGCTTGGCACAGGTAGGCAGATCTTTGAGTTGTGATGTTTTGGAGAGCCATTCAGGAGGACCAAAACAGAATGTCTGATGGTTGCAAACATCCAGCAGGTTTTGCTAATGCTTCATGTCACACTTCATTGCTCACTTAAGAAAATGGGATCACCGTTAAACCAGACAAAATTCTTGTGTTTGGCAGATGAAGGTTCATTCTTTGACAGGCTATTTATGGCGTCTCTTTCTTCTAAGCACTAAGGTGGTATCTCTCTGTGTTTCATTGTGATTGTGGTCTTTGTTCCTAAATTGTAGCTTTTGCATCGTTCTCTAGTCTAAAGGAAGACTTAAAGATACGTAACTGAGGGGTTGCAAATGGATCCTGCCGTCAGACCGAGAAATTACCTTTGTTTTATTTTTGTATACTGCAGCCAGAAGTTCGTTAAACTAATCGTTGTTTTCTTTTTCAGGAAAATGTTGGCTGCTGATGAATTTTCGGTGAGTGGTCCATTCTGTCAGCCTCATAAAATGTAAACAATTTGTAACAAGTAATGAAAAGAATTGAGATGTTGCAATAGATTGAAGTGTTGCTTTTTATAGAGAAAGTCTCACTAGTGTGTTAAATAGGCGAAGAGTGAGTTTTTATGAGTTTTCATAAAGTGAGTTTTTATAAAGCACTAGATAAGCACGGGTGTACCCAAAATGGAAAATACGCTTTGTTTTGAATCTGAAACAAATTCCTCACATTTTGGAAGTTCTGCTGAAACTGTAGGTCAGCTTGGTGCAGAGAAAATTTGGGATACAGGTAGTCCTTGGTTAATGACTACTCATTCAGGTAATCAAAAGAGTAATAGATCCATTGCTCCCACAACACACACACACACACACACACACACACACTTTCCAGCATCTGTCCTCTATCTCCCTCCCTGTTCCCTCTCCATTGATTGATTGATATTTCCTATTTCTAAACCGCCCGTCTCCCTCAGTAGATGCTGCTGATGTTCCAGCACAGTAGACAGTATCCCACCAGCTTGCTTTTCTGGCTCACCTCTGAGCTTCTCATTGCCTTCCATCCCCGCCTACAACCACTGCTGCCCCTGAACTAGCCTATGTAGCTGTTCCTTACTAAGATGGTCTCGGCATCAGGCTCCCAGCATGGCATATTCCACAGGCCCATTCATACGCACACACACACAGACACCCCTCGTTCCTCTTTCATTGTCTCCAGTTTAAATAGTAGATGAGTAAGAAGTTATCATTGGTCAATCATTGGTCACAGGATCCCACTGATATTTTGTTTTCCCAGCTGGCCGATGCTCTACCGGAGAGTTCCCCTGCCAAGAGTTCCTCAGTGGGCAATACAAAGCCACCTCAACAGCCCAGCCAGCCTCCACAAGCCTGGCCAACCTCCAGTCCCTGGAATAACGCACCAAGTGCTCCTCCTGCAGCTCCATCCGGTTTGCCTCCTAGCTCATCGACTTCCAACGTGCCTTTTGGTCCCCCACCAACAGGAATGTATCCTTCCCTCCCCCCCGGGGCACCAGTTCCTTTTCCTCCTCCTGGTTCTTCTTGTCCTCCAGGTGCTCCATATCCACCCCCTGGTCCTGCCCCACCAGGGCAATATCCGCCACCAAGCATGCCCTTCCCCGAGATTCCGAGGCCATATGGGGGTCCCACTGAACCAGGTGCGCCCCCCGCTGCTGTTGGAGCATGGGGATCCATGCCCACTGGAGGGTGGGGAGCCTCAGTTGGGGGACAGTATCCTGCACCTAGTGTGCCATATCCACCTCCAGGGCCATATTCCACTCCCACTCAGACTCCAGGGGCTGCTCCTACAGTGCCATGGGGTGCTGTCCCCCCAGGACCATGGGGACCTTCGCCTCCTGCCCCATTTCCTCCACCAACAGGATCCTACCCAGCTCCAGGGCTGTACCCGACACCACCTAATCCTTACCAAGTGCCACCTGCGCCTGCTGGAGCACCATCCATACCTGGTGGCCCTCATGTAAGTAAGACTTTTCTCAGTTATGAGGCAGCTAAACTTCAGAGGGAAAGGAGTGTAGTAGTCAAATTCATGCCCATTTAATGTAGTTATTTTTTATTGCAATGGCTTCCAATGTTTCTATGTGAATTTATCTAAAGCAGTGGTTCTCAACCTGTGGGTTGGGACCCCATTTGGGGTCGATCGACCATTTCATGGAGGTCGCCAAGCAAGGCTGTCCGCCATTTTTTTTATCCGCCATTTTTTTTGTCCGCCATTTTTTTCCCCCTTTTCCGGCGGGTTCCTTACCTCCCTTGGGCTGAGCCAGCTGGTGGTTGGCCTGCTCTGTCTCTGCCGCTTGCCAGCTACGCCTCGGCCGGCGCAGGGGGTGGGACCACTCATGCACGGCGCTCCCGGGCAGGGAAAGTCCTCGACTTATGACCGGTTGGGTAGTCCTCGACTTACATCCGGTTTAGTCCTCGACTTACGACTGGTTTAGTCCTCGACTTACGACCGGTTGGGGTCGCGGCATTAAAAAGGTTGAGAACCACTGGTCTAAAGAGCCTTGGTTGCAAAATGTGTGTAGAGTGCACATTGTTGTATATGGAAAGTAAAACTTCATAATTGCCCTATATCATATCTTGAAACTGGGTATTTACAGGGAAAGTTTAATACCTGTGAATAGGATGGCTTCCCTGTTATATAGAAACTTTTATATAGTTCCCGGGAAACTTTTTGAAAGCATTGTAGCTAAAACAATTGGGTTTGACACAAACGTGAAATAATCGGTCCTACCATCAGATTTAACAGTCTTTTAAAATGTGAGGATTTTTACCTTCATCCTCTTGGAAAAGGAACAATTATAGGGCATTGTATAAACATATGTTTAAAATAAATTATTAATCTCATTGCATCTCCATCAACAACATGATGCACTCAAGCCTTTCCTACTATATAAGTGCAGTGGAGCCCAGTTAGTTCGCAGTAACACCTTTGGTTAATAAAATGTCATTTAAGATGCTTTTGGTATTGATGTTGATAGTTCTACCCACTGTCCAGGAAAAAATTGCAAATACAATATTTTTTTTTTACACTTTACTGTAACCCTTAGAGTTTGTCTATAAGATATCTGTTGGTTTAGGGCAGTGTTTCTCAACCTTGACCATTTTAAGGCATGTGGACTTCAACTCCCAGAATTCCACAGCCAGCATTGCTGGCTGTGGAATTCTGGCAGTTGAAGTCCACATGCCTTAAAATGGTCACGGTTGAGAAACACTGGTTTAGGGGGAAAAGGGGGGGAAAGATCAGCCATGGCTGTTGTTGATATGAAGGTTGGGATTTCCACACTGATTCTAGTCTCTTCACATGATGTGTTGTTGTCTGGCTATGAGACAGACAGAGACAGTGGCATTCTCTGGCCAATGGATGCCATTGAAAAGCATGCTGTTTTGTTGGCTTAGTGTAGTTAGTCCTTGACTTACAACCACAATTGAGCCTAAAATTTCCATTGATAAACAATACAGTTGTTAAGTGAATCGCTGCAGTTCTTAAAATAGTAACAGGGTTGTTAAGTGAATCTGGCTTCCCCATTTACTTTGCTTGTCAGAAGGTTACAAAAAGTGATCGCATGATCCTGGGACACTGCAACCGTCATAAATACACGTCAATTGCCAGTGTTGATCACGTAATCATGGAGATGCTGCAATGATCATAAGTGTGAAAAACAGTCATAAGTCACTTTTTCCAGTACCATTGTAACTTCAAAGGGCCACTAAACAAATGGTGGTAAGTCGAGGAGTTACCTGTAACCCATTTTCCACTAGCTATTCCAGTGATGGCGAACCTTTTAGAGACTGAGTGCCCAAACTGCAACCCAAAACCCACTTATGCATCGTCGGGTGCCGGGTGGGTGTGGCCCATTGGGTGGGTGTGGCCCATTGGGTGGGCATGGCTGTGGTGGTAACGGCAGACTGGGTGGGACTAAAAAGTTCAATCAATCAATTCCAACTTTGCAAGATCTTTTTTTTCCCGCGAGAAGTTGAAATTGACTGATTGATTGAACCTTTTTTTTTTTTGCACATGTCGGCGGAGGCCTAAAGCGAAAAGGTTTTATAAAACCCAGCTAAAGGCCTAGGACTGGGGCGACGGCCCGCGTGCCCACAGAGAGGGCTCTGAGTGCCGCCTCTGGCACCCGTGCCACAGGTTCGCCACCACTGAGCTATTCTGTCAGAAGGGAGTGGCACGGTGGCTCAGTGGTTAAGATGCTGGCCTTGTCATCTCGAAAGCTGGCAGTCCAGGTTCGAGACCCAAGCGCCACGTGACAAGTTGAGCTCCCATCCTCGCCCCAGCTCCTGCCAGCCTAGCGGTTCGAAAGCATGCAAATGCGAGTAGATAAATAGGTACCACTTTGGTGGGAAGATAACAGTGCTCCGTGACGTCATGCTGGCCACATGACCACAAAAATGTCTTCAACATTCAGCCCTGGCTCAATGGCCTTGAAACGGAGATGAGCACCCCACCCCCACACACCCCTGTAGTCGGCAATGACTAGCGGAGTAAAATCCGCAAGGACTCCTTTACCATTTACCTTTATTCTGTCACAAGCATCAAATGTTTCTGGGCCAATCATTGCTGTTTATCCTTGTCAGAATTTGACATTTGTTTTGACCCCATGCAAGTGGTTTATCAAGAAGCTGCAGGTAGTTCATACGAAATGGCAATACATACCTGACAAATTCTAACATTTCTACTTCATTATTTTTAACTAAAAATATTTGATCTTGGAACAATAGAAACTGATTGTTTTTGTGTTTATCTCTTTTTTTTTTCCAGCCCTACCGTTGAACTTGTGGCAGGCTGCCTCCCTACCTATTTACAAAGAAAAGTTTTTAGTAATCTTTTGGAGTCTTGAAGAGCCTACCTGTGTTCTGCCAGCCCATTTGTGGTGTGAGGGAGCACTCCTCCAACGCTTATTTTGTGTGAGATGGATTAGGATAAACAAGTTGACTGCCCCAGCTCTCTAATCCTTACTCTAGTCAAGATTTCATCAAGTGACATTAGCCTAATGAGTAAGGACTAACCCTGGATCAATACTACAACTGTGTCTTAATTGCGGATTTAAAGGATTGACCTGATTGACAGACCACATCTTAATTTAAATAATTTCAGTTATCTGGAGAAGCTCCTGAAGAAATGAGCTAGGCACCCTTCATCAAATTGAAGAGAAGCAAAGCACATTAATTTAAAGCAGTTCTCAGCATCAGACTTGATTTGTTCTATTTGAGAAATCTTTCTAGAGATGAATATCTGGTATTGGATGCTTAATTCCTACAACAAACACACTTGGGGAGCATCACTTTGGTTTAGATGTTCAGGTAGTTCAAATAGATATTTCTGACATGAGTTTCCCAGCTGTATTAGCCATCATATATTTTGGGAGCCATCTAAAAATTACCTGCTTTTTAGTCTGAATGTTTTAGCTTGAGTGAGCCTCAAAACCATTTGAAGAGTTTTGTGCACTTCACTTCTGAAAGCAAAATTTCTTTTAAAAAGTTCTTGCAAGAAGGGGTGGGAATGTAATCAGTATAATCTCTTCTCTGGCAGCTCCAGAGTCTTTGAAAATTAATTTGGAAGCTTTAGTTTCATGTGAACATCTGGTCTCGGGATAACAAACTAAACAGGAAAGTTTCTCTACTTGAGGATGTCTCTTAATGCTCAGCTGTGATTAGTTAAAATGTACTTGGTGAATATTGGCAGTAGATGCAACAATCTAGATGTACAGTTTTCTCACTTCAGTTTTGGGGTGAACACCAAAAAGCCAGTCCCTTGTGGAATTTCCCATGGAGGAAATACACTGGACTCATTTATCACGGTTCACAAAGAGTACAACTCTTCATCATTGTCTTACTGATAAGTCCATGTTTTAAAAGTTGATAACTTCCTTCTGTGGTCTGCAGAAATTTGCTTAACATAGATGTCTAACATTTATCATAAATTGGCTATTTCCAAGCTATTCCTTAAGGGAATAACTTTATAGGAGAGATTTTTAGGGAATCCATGTTCTGCCTAAGAAGTAATGGACTAGCTTAATTTAGGTAAGAATGGATGTGACTCAGGCATATGTGCTGTAGTGTTTCTGGAAATATTTATTTCCTCAAATCAAATGAATTTGAAAAGGCCCTTCATTTTCTTCCCTATCCCTTCTTGGCCTAGTTTTCCCCATCCCCACTGGTTACATGTTATCTTCCTGTCTTTTCTCAGTTGTCAGCTTCTCTTAAAGCTTTAAACCACAGAAATTTGTACAGGTGCTGAGTTTAGAATTCTAGTGATCCTTGGAAATATCAGATAATTTAGCTTACTGGTGAGAACTGCACCTTGGCAAGTTTCACAAGTAAGCTAAATTATTAGATATTTTCAGACGGCTTTGATTGAGGGCCCCAATGCCAATGAACTCTGAAGTGACATCCCATTAACTTTGTATTATTTAAAGCAGCTATTTGAGGATAGGTGTGTTTTTCTTCATTGTAGGGGCATCTCTTTTTCTCATTTTGAGTACACAGTTGATAAATTTATTTCTGATGACATCTTCTTGCTCCATATTTCCAGTTTGCAGTGTAGTATTGGCTTTAAAAAGGAATCAGCTATAATGTAGAAATATTAAAGTGAAGTATTGGCAAGTTTCAATTGTGGAAAGATACTAAGACACTTTGTCAGAATTGCAGTTCAAATTTGAAAAAATTTAGATATTTCCTATGTTGGCTTGCAGTAAGGGAGACTATGACTGACAATAAATTGGCAGAACACTCTTGAGGCAAATGCAATTATATGAAATAAGAAATGTGAATCAAAATAAAGAACAGGTTAGTATTACTCTTCTGTGCTCTGCCTGCTCTATAGAAATAGTAAATTTTATGAAATCTTGAAGAATGCTGAAAGATGTTTTGCAAAGCTTTTCTAAGATGATAGAATACTTTTTTTTGCTGAATCTTAAAATCAAGCTCATAGAAGAGATTTTCTCCCCATCCTAAAGCTAAATTATGATAAAAAACATGATTTTGTGTTTCTAGCTATCAGTATAATCCCATACAAATCTATTCAGAAGGAAGGAAGTCCTATTAACTTCAGTGACTTTTATGTAAGTGGTTATAGGGCTGGAGCTATGTCAGAGCTTAAACTAGAAGTAAAAGCATTCTGGGAGGACTTCCTACATGTTATATCTGCTGGTGGGATTGGCTGAGATTCTGGACCTGCACTTGACAAAGGTTGTCAGCCATTGCCCCAAATAAGGGATTGTAACATAAGAAAACTGTAATGCAGCATTTTATATAGTTAAAAAACTCTAAATGTTATCTGTGCATATCATTCAAATTCTGCTGCTTAAGGGGGTTGGGAAGGCAGAAAAGACTCAGTTATCTGATAGGCATGGAGCAGCATTTGCAGCATCCATTGTTGCCGGACATTTTGCAAGCCTATATTAGCTGTTTGCTTGATTTTTCTTGTGGCGTAATTCCACATTCAATGCCTTGGTCCCCTTTCCACAGAAATATTTCATGAACACCTTTCTGCCTACAAAACATTCTGTCAGCCTTTAATTTACCGTTGATGCATCACTTAGATGCTGGAGGCAAAGAGGACTGTAAGAAACTGCAGAGACAGCAAAATGATATGCAACTGACACAGTTCTGTCCTTGCATCAAGACATTCAAGGCTAACCTGTAAGTTGCATATGAGTGATAGGACATCTTGTGCACGTTATTTGCCTTTCCGTGCCCCTATAACCTGGCTGGAAATCCTTTAGTTAAGTAAGAAAAGACAAGATACAATCAGATTTTAAAAATGGGCAAGCTTTGTGGTTAAACACCCAACTAAAACAAAGCTTGCTTTCTTACTAGGGGTTCAGCATCTCTGCTTATCTTATTCCTTCATATTGAGAGATTTTTTCCTGCCATATCGAGATACTATTCCTCCAACAATGGAAGACTCCCTTTCAGAAAGCAATTGTAGTTTGATGCTGTGTAGTAAAACCTTTTTAATCCTTCTGTCTCATGTGTGAGTGATTTGGGGCATGATGCTTGTTATGCAATGAAATTTGTACTGTTTATTGTGTTCCTTGTGAGCTAAAACTGCCGAGAAGTTTGGGGTGGGTTGTTTGGCTTGTGCTTCTGGGATGATTATTTAACTGCTTTTGTTTATGACATGGAAATATTAAGCAATCACACTTCTGAAGTATAGACCATATCACTTGCTGCTGTATTTTTTTTTCTTTATAGATGACAAATATTTGCTGTATGTTGGTAGTGAAGAGGCTTTAAATACAGGATTTGATATTTTTTGAAAATGGTGTTACTTTTTGTATACACGTAGACATTTAGCATATTTTCAAGAGGAGACTGCACAGTACACTTCATAAAATATTTATTTCAGCCACTTGCCTCTATAACAAGGGCTTTTACTTACAAAGTCATTTTTAATACACTTTGATTGTTGAAGCATCACACAAGATTCTGGGTAATTTATTTTGGTTAGATGCTAAGAAAACTAATATCTTTACTATCTCTCTTAATCTTAATTCATTATGTCGCAGGGGATGAAAGAGGCAAGGGACAAGAGATGTTTTCAGATGCTTCTGGGGGGAGCCAAAGTTGGAGCTAATCTAAAATATACAAGGAGGCTATTCCTGAGGATTGATGCTGCTATAGAAAAGCAGTACTTCCAAACTTTCCAAAAGCAAATCTTCTATCCCTGCTGAAACTGAGGAACCACTAACTACTTTGCCCAACAAGATGAAATTGATCAGGGCCAATTCCAGTGGGCAAAGGTCCTGAAGATAATTTGGGCCACACCATAAAAGGCTTTAGAAGTTAAAGCCGGCATTTTAAATCCTCCAGGAGTCTGGAGGAAGCCAATCCAGGGTTAGGTATCCCCATAGCAAAGGTATCTTCTGCTCCCACCAGCAAGTGTGGGATAGTATGCAGGTGTAATTCTGAGTGGTCTTTAAAGGCAGCCCCATGGAGAGTGCATTGCAGTAATCTAGTAATATTCTAGTAGCATCCCATCTATGAATTCTATTGTAGTCTCTATAAACCAGTGATGGCGAACCTTTTAAAGACCAAGTGCCCAAACTGCAACCCAAAACCCACTTATGCATCATCAGGTGCTGGGTGGGTGTGGCCCATTGGGTGGGCGTGGCTGCAGTGGTAACAGACTGGGTGGGTCTAAAAAGTTCAATTAATCAATTCCAACTTTGCAAGATCTTTTTTTTCCCGTGAGAAGTTGAAATCGACTGATTGAACCTTTTTTTTTGTACACGGCGGCAGCGAAAAGGTTTTATAAAACCCAGCTGAAGGCCTAGGACTGGGGCGGCAGCGCACGTGCCCACAGAGAGGGCTCTGAGTGCCGCCTCTGGCACCCGTGCCATAGGTTCACCACCACTGCTATAAACCTTAACTGATTAACTTATAAATCTACAGGTAGTCCGTGACTTAAGTCCACAATTGGAACGAGAATTTCCATTGCTAAGCCAGGTATGGTAGTTGTTAAGTGAGCCATGCCTGATTTTATAACTTTTTTTTGACATGGTTGTTAAGAGAATCACAGTAGTTATAAAGTGAACCATGCAGTCATTAAATGAATTAAATGCAGTCATTAAATGAATCTAACTTCACCCATTTATTGCTTGTTTGAAACTGGCTGAGAATGCTGCAACCATCTTAAATACATGCCAGCTGCCAAGCACCTGAATTTTAATCACATGACCATGGGGATGCTGCAATGGTCTTAAGGGTGACTTCATATATAACTTTTCAGTATAATTGCTAAACATGGTTAAGGAGAGGATGACCTGTTCTTGCCTTTTAAACTACAAATGCAGTTTCATGGTTCAGCCAGAAGAGAGCGCTGTTTTTCAACAAACTTCCCACTTTCACTACTCATTCTGCAGACTTCCGATATCTGAATGTCGGATGTCCCACAGAAGAGTATTAATATGGTTCTTCATTCTGTGTCCAGCATATGCAAATATAACTTAGAAGTCAGATTCCTAACAGCAAGAGGAGTCTGAAAGTGCAACTAGTTTCCTTGTAGGGTAATGGGTTCCTTTTCGTTGAGAATATTCAATACAAGCTGGGCAGCCATCAGGCTTTAATTTGGATTCCAGCAATGGG